CACAATGCAGGGCAGGGTGCTGCAGCACGTGCTGTATTTGAGGATGTGCTTTCTGAGATCTTTCACTTCCACTGGCACTTTTAAAACTTTGCACATTAGATTGAGGATCTTCAACCCAGTCTTCTCACTRGGGCTGCACAGAAGATGTGTCTGAGACTTCCCTGGGACCTTGGGCTGCTGATCAGTCAGACCTCACATTCAGTCTAAGAACAGTGCAGCTCCTTCCACCCCAGTCACTCAAATTTCTCTTCATGGGGGTGGGCAGCAGTGTGGGGTATGGGAGCAGCATTCACCAATTCTCACCTAGGTATAGGGTCTGGATGTGGAATTAAGCAGATTCTCAGGAATCAAGCAGCATTTGCACTGACCCATCTTCTGCAGCAGCTCCCACAGAGGACTAGAAAAAAAGCATCTGCCATGGCTGAAACCTGTCCTGTGCAACGGATTCTGCTGAGAGCAAAGCAGAGATTATGAATGAGCTGACAAAACCAGCCTGCTGTTGGCATAGGCACCAAGCAGAGGCAGAGTAGCTATGCTGGAAGTGTTTCATCCATTACTGTCAGAGAAGTCACTTTTACCACCGATCCCGCTCTAATAAATCATGTTGCCAAGCAGTTTTATGGAGGCTTTATACATCCAAAGCTACTTATGGTCCTGTTAAAAGAGATGCATTTCTTTTTTAGCTCAGTGTGGCTGAAATGCTGTCACAGAAGAAAGAGCTGCTGCTCAGAGCGTTATTGTGAAAGAGGCATTACTGTAATTACAATAGGGAGGGACGACGTGAGCTAGGAGACACCATCTTCCTCCTCTGACCCATCACCTTTGGGCAGCATTGCAAAACTGAAAATTTGTGACCATAAGCACAATAGCTGCTCACATACTCTTTGCCGCAGGGATTGATGAAAATGGGGAAATAATGATGTTACTTCCTCATTCACCATAAATCACCCATGCCCTCAAAGTGACTGGAGTATTAGAAGTCTGGCAAGATGTATATGGACAACTTAACCAACTAGCTCTTTTATAAAGGCTGTCATCTTCTTAATGCAGTGTTAGATATATTTAGGCATGTGTCTACAAAATAGAGTATTTCTTTCTGAAGCTAACAAAGCTCTCATTCTAGCAGACATTAAAACTTCAGTCTGCAAATATTCACCCTGTGGCTGCATTCACACTATTGAGTTATTCAGAGACTACTGAAGCCAAACAATAGATCAAAGTGGCTCATCTACATATGCACTACATATGCATACATTTATACCCATACGCACGCACATTTATATATAAATATATATGGTTTGCAGCCATTAATGCCCACGGCAAGTTTCCTCACTAAGCTGTGGAGTAGCTTAGGAAGGTTGTATATCCAGCATAGCTAAATCTACATGGCACATGTATAACCCCCATCAAGATTACACTTTCAAATTTGGCTCTGTTTAAACGCAGCCCTTCCCATGGCAGTTCTATCATCGTCACACCACTGCTTTACATAGCACTGGGAGGGTTCTGCCCAGCTCCTAATAAGCAGCACGGGCACTCCTGTCTCTGGAAGGCAGAGATAATTCCAAAGGCCACTCCCCTGCTGAGCCTTGTCCAGCCCAGCAGGCAGCACAGACAGCGGTGGTGCTGTTCCTCTGCATTGACAAGTGCAGCGATGGGAAAGGGGCCACAGGCAGCAAAAACCCACCACATCCCAACAACCCAGCAAGGCAACCTCCAGCAGTGCTGAGGAACCTTACCAATAAGAAATATTCACTTTTCAGTTCCTCCTACACTGTCTTCTTAAATCAGCACACTACAGACAATGTTGTGATGCCTGTTGAACAACTGGAAAGTACCAAAATCTCTCCTTGTCAGCATTCACTTAAGACAGAAAAGGACACTGCATAGGCACAGAAGAGAAGCAAGGAGATYTCTAGGCAATCTGCTGCACTCCTATCTCTCAGGAAACAAATACTACAGGGGATGGGCACAAATCTTTTGTTTTAACATCTGTTCAGGAGTAAGTTGCATGTAACTGCATGTGTCTGTGGCCATGCTGGCCTTGGGTCAAAATCCAGAACACACCTCTGACTTCTGGCCCTAGCACAAAGAGGTGGCTGGAAACCCTCCAATGTCAACAGCAACTCWGGCTGTCCAAACATTCATTTGCAGCAATGGAGACACATCAAAAAGTTGACTGCCTAAGGAGCAGAGACAGMCTGCAGGAAACCCTTAAATGAAGAGTATTTCTACCCTTCCATAACCAAGGAAGGACAAAACGATGCCATGGACAGTAACTTTACCTTATTTCTAGAAAGAAAATGCATAAAATCTACCTGGATCCACCAAGCACAATAGCAAAAAACCCTGAGCTACATTGTTCTAGAGAAAGGGAAGTATTTAGAGGAGGTCTGAGCACACAGTTGCACTGTCCCTGTAATCTTGTCTCAGGTGTCCACTACTGTCCATCACAGGGACAGGGCACTGAGCTAGAGGGACCTCAATGGGACAAAATGTCTAGCATTTCTGGATTGTAGATCATGTTGAAAATCAGTCATGAGTACTTGCCTGAACATTCATGAGTTCACTGCCTGTGAACCCCAGCCACATGAACACATAATTTTCCTCAGGTGAGCAGGTCCTTCATTTCTACATTAACACGAAGACATCACTCAGTGCCTCTAATTGGCTAGGACAAATGGAGGAGATTACTTCATCAACTCCTGTCTCACACAGTCAGATAATGCAGGGCCACACCAGGATACCTAAAATAGTGATTTATTGGAAAAAGCATTATGACYATTTATAAATGCTGTGACATGATTAGTACTTCAAAGAGAAAGATAAACTGGCAACATATAGTGTAGAGAATCAACAGCTCCTACTGAGCTCACAAAGTCAGTGATAAGCACAGAAGTTGTAAATCAAAATATTACTTTTTATTTATTTCAACACAGCAGAAAATGCAGACAAAACACAGGCATCTTTGTGTGCACAGAAAAAAACAATTCAGTTTGCATAAGGCTTTGACATAATTTAACGCTGTTTATGTAATTCTAACCTGCCTGCCTCATGCAAAAGGCCAGTAGCAGGGTTGCACAGGCAGATGTTTACTCTCACTGTTGGGTCTSAAGCTCYCACTCTCTGCTCAGAGTGTRTGTATTTTATWAAATTTTACCCRACCATGCTGCTGACATGTGCAGCTCTGTTTATACCAGGTTTATTATTGGCATCTCTAACATCTGAGATTTCACAATATAACTTTTGTGAAATTTCAAGGTTTGAAGGACATTCACTACCAGTCACCAGACTGTATCCACAGCCTAAACACAAATTCTGAAATGAACCYGGGAAGGCATAAACTGGACAGCACTGTGCTACTCCATTCCTCACCCACACAGGTTAAAATAATAAATGGTCCCTTCGGATTCAGGTACAAGCTTTTGCTGCTTCAGAAATTCCTTCAAAAGCCTAATTCTTTGCTTTTCTTGATTTCTCTTTTTATTCTTCCTCCCCTGCACTKCAATCACTAACCACAGCCAATAGCTTTCCCCTTGTCGTTGTTTTTTGTCTGTTTTTTTTCTTAACTGAATAATACCTGCTCTTTTTATCCATCCTGAACTAGCTGCTCTTGAACACAAGTGACTGAAAYTCTCATGAAGTCCACAACAAAGCTCTCATATGGCTCAGCAAGACAGAAAAGGAAAGCACATAAAACACTCAGGTTTTCTCCTTTTACTGCTGAGATGATTTGTTCTCAGAAAGAAGGCGCACATGAAACAGCTTGACCATCTAGAAGCCAAGATGCCATCTGACAAATGTCTCAGCTCCATGGGAAAATGGCTTTTGAAAAGCACCTGAACTATGGGGCACTTAACCACCAGAGGAGCACACCTCTTTCAGTGAAGATAATGAATTATACAGGCACCCACAGCAGCATGGTGTGTGAGTGTGTTCCCACTGGGGGCATTCTGCTGTCTCCCTGGCAGAGCCAACAGCTAAAATACTGGTATGATGCCTGACATTTCAACATTGCCACTCTTCCTGAAACAAGACCCACACTTGTTATTGCATTTGAAGTTTCCAAAAGGCTACTTATTATTTCACCCAAGTCCCTGTTTTCCTGAACGGCCACGTTTTCCTTTTCCTTCTCTAAAGAAAACAGCTGGTCTGAGTAACCTGTCACACAGTGACAACCCTTAAGAAGTTTTTTCAAGATTTGCACCCATGGTAGTTTCACTATATGTTCACCATTCTTCAAATGCAGCCTCAGATCACAAGTAATAAGCACCTGCTTTCTTCCCAGCCTTGCACTTCTCCAATTCAATTAGATTGCCACGTACATTTCTGCTTTGGCCCTTGCATAGGCTACTTTTAAAGAAATGTTACCCCAAAGTAATTGGAAGGTCAGGAAATGATCTTGGATTCTCCAGGTCCCATTGTCCAGCTGCTAGCTGAGATCAAGGCACAGCACACCCTGAAACATTTCTCCTCAAACAGAATAAAGCTGCAAACAGAACCTGGATCTTTCTCTAAATGACATTTCTCAGACAGATGACAGAAGCGTTGGTCTCCTGCACACTCTGAATTAATGGAAAGGATGTTTATTTTCACTATGCTGTGTTGGCAGTGATGCCCGTGTCCCTTTAGACTTTGTGGAATGGCAAAGATAAAAGCAGCCTTTTACAGCTGCAGCAAACTGAAGGAGATAAAAAAGTCTCTGTATGCACTTTTGTCCTGCTCCCTTGCCATCTCAGGTGAGACTATTAGTCTGCCTACACTTGGACGTGACTCCTGTCAGGCACCAGCCAATTAAGTACTTTTGGCTTTCTCAGCACTGAACTCTGGATGCACAAAGCAGATAAAAGCCAGCCACGGCGAGATCAAGAGACTCTGTTTGGCTGAGGATGTCGTCTGGAATGAGGGAGCAGGACCATCAGGAGGGTCAGCAAGTGTTCTTCTAAAATGGCTAGTCCTTAAAAAAACTAAGGCATAGGCACGGAGAAAGGCAATGGTATATTTTTTTGCCTCTGCTGAATTATTAGTTTATTTTAAAGAGGACAGGGAAATAGCGTGGGGAGGTTTTCAGTGCAAGGCAGCACCACAGGGTGCCAGATGTTCACTCTTTCACAAACCAGACCTCATTGCGACGTCCGTAAGGCTTCATTGGGGGGTCATAACCATTGCACAAGTAGAAATCCTTGCRGTATGCAGCCTCACTCCCCAGAGCAGCCTTCAGCTTAGCAGCATGGTTCACATAATCTGCCTCTTTGGCATAGCCACCAAACTGCCTGCAAATAAACCAGACAGGTGTTGAGTGCTTCTGGCAAAGCACAGAAAGAGAGAGAGAACAATATAGAGCTGCAGTATATTTACACATGCATTTTGATCCAGGTCCTGCCAATATGCATTCATGTATGCACTGCCCACTGTGAACCAGCACACTTCATCTGTGACAGACGAACTCGCTTGGGTGACACAGCCAAGGTGCAGTCATCCATTGGCAGACCCCAAAGGGATCCCCCCAAACAGCCCCATGTACGTTAGGCAGCAGAATGGCCCTGCCCTGTGAATCAACACCATATCACCAAATAACTTTCTAAAACACAAGGTTATCTCCAAGTCAGCTCAGCCCACAGTCCTCACCAATGCTGTCAACAACCATGTTCACTGTGATATTAACAACCATCTGCTGGAAGCCAGATCAAGAGGAGAGCCAAACTCTAGCTAGCCCAAGAAAAAGGAGAGGTAGGAACAGACAATTGGCAATTACAGCACATGATGCTATTTAAAAGGGTGGGCTGAAATGGGTCTGGCTTATGTCGACCTCCCACCAACAGGAACTGTTTCCACATCAGCTTGCACCTCACCACCATCCCTCAGGGCTGACTTTTGAGACAAAACAGGCTGATATCGCAGAAGTGGCCCACGCCCAGAGCAAAGGCCAAGCAGCAGTCAGAGGGAAGGGAGAAGCCAGTTCAGAATCAGCCAAAATAATTCAAGCAAGTAGGCAGGGGAGCCTCCGAGGGGTTAAAGTCAAGGTGAACAGCTGATTGCTATTGTGATGCTAGTTTGAGTTCAGGCTGCCAGTCAGCAGCCGAAGACACTCAAAGGTGATTTGAAGCACTGCAATGGCTGCTTGTTTCCATGGTGGAGTYTGGTGTTAGTCCATCTCAATGAGGCTTCTGCTGACACTTTACTTTGATGTGAACAACACCAGAGCACATTCTTAATGACTATAAACAATCTGAAACCCAGAAAGTGGGAAAAACAACAGTTTCACAAAAAAACATCTGTCTTCAGTCTAGACATACCCTCCATCTCCTTCTACCACATGCACCCATTGTTCAGCAAGGTAAAACAAACACTGCTCTTCAGAGCGCCCTAAAGACCTCAGCACATGGGACTGGAGAACTAGGATGCATTCCTTACGTGGAATAAATGGTCATCCCCTGTCTTTCTTCAATTTTAATGCTTTCATCTGTAGGAGAAGGAGGGTTGTCTTGAAACTTGCTTGGGATCCGCACAGAGACCTTCACATTCTGCTGAAAGGAGCCATCTTCAGCAGGAAAAGCAGTGATGGAGACAGGRGCAGTCATGCCCATTGCAACCCCTGAAACAGACACACAGACATTACTAAAGAAGTCTAGAATCTCAGGAACTCACAAAATTAATAGGGAATTTACACAAGCTAATATTAGTTTTGGGAAACTCCTCATACAGAATTTGTTGTCAGGAGTGGGCTCCTCTGCAGAACAGCCATCATCAGGCTTCTGCTTGGGCCAAGCTCTCTCTCCACACAAGGACCCTGGGAGACAAGTGTCCCAAGTGACCACTGGAATGTTTTTTATTAATGGTGCTGCTTTTGTGGTTCTCTGAGACACTCCATTCTTCTGACAAGTCAGCTGTAATTCAGCAGGGTCTGTAGCTCTAGGGCAGGAACATATAAATATCCATCAGCATTTAAATTAATACTATCTGCACTTAGTCATGAGCCCAAAGCCAATACTGGGTGACAGGGGCTTTCTCTTAAGCCCCTCCAAATGCTTCCAGACATCCTACAAGTTCCAGTGCCCCAAAACTCAGTGCTTTTATGGCTTTCAGCAGGACTGTCCATGCTGTCCACACTCCAGAAGCAGCATGTTTTTTTCCCACTCATTACCACCAAGAAGTACCACATGGTACTGAAGATGATTTTTCTTGACTCTTCTTGCAACAGTTGGGAACCTCTAAACCTCAGGAGCAGGTAGCCACAAAAGCAGTTGAGATCAAGCCATCCTTCTCATTTATTTTCCTCTGACATCATACCTTTGTTTGTGTCACGTGTTATAGAAGGCACCCTTCCTACTACAGCAACAGCAATCATCACTTTTCCAAAACATGCTGCTGCAAATTACATTTCCCACCGCATCAACCTCCTACTCCCATAGAGACTACACCAATCTCTCTACTAGATGATGGAGAAAGGTGTGCAAAAACATGTATATGCCTCAGAACCACTCTGTAGTCTTCTCCTCCTATGGAATTAAATTCAACCTGAATGGTTAAAATGTGAACACTTTAGTAAAATGAGAATTAGAAGCAATCACCTGGAAGCACCACCATAAAACGTTATGAAATTATCATTAAAAATGAAGCTCATTGTTCATTACCCTTTCATGAACAAAAATAGCCAGATAAAATATCAAGGTCATAGCAGTTATTTCACTGCCCTCAAGGGCACATTATAGAACCAAAGTGTCCCAGATTCCCTGGATTTCATGAGTTACAGCTCACCCAGGGAACTGTGATAGATACATGTCTGTCTGTCCTCATCTTATTCCAGCTGCAAGATAAGTTATTCCTGTTTAAACGAATAATTTTTGAGATTTCACCCTGGAACAGAGATGGGTTAAAAGTGGACTCAAAGCATGAATTGGCTGGGCATGCCTTTATGCGTAGTAAGTTCACTCTTTCCAGTGAAACTATCCCCATCAAAGACCCCCAGCGCCAGGAGCCACAAGCCAGGCAGGCCTGCAGTGCCATCGCCTCCATCCATCCTGCTTTCACCAAGCTTCAACCACAAATATCCGCCAAGCCCCGCGGGCCCGGCAGCATCTCTCACCCCTGTCGTTGCTTCCTCCGACGTACTTAAGGAGCTTGACTGCCCCTTCCTTGGAGGCTTCGTCGAACGGCTTCCCCACCAGCTCCACCGCCGCAAACCGCCCGCCCTCGCACGCCCTCTCCTCGTAGCTGACCTGCTCCTGGGGAAGGAGATGGGGATGGAGGMGCTGCCAGGAGGGATGCGCTGCCCGGGAGTGACACTCGCTGTCCCTTGCAGCGCCTTAGCCGGCCCCGCGGGAGCAGAAGCGCCGGGGAACAGCGCCGGCCGCTCGCCCGACACAAACCTTCTCGCCCTTGCCCAGCAGGCGATAGGGCCATGGCTCCACCGTGCTCAGCAGCGAGTTCTTCACCATGCCCAGCATGGTGCCGCTCGGCTCGGCTCGGCTCTGCCCCGCTCAGCTCGTCTCGGCTCTGCCCCTCCCGGCTCGGCTCTGCCCTTCTTGGCTCGGCTCGGCTCTGCCCCTCCCGGCTCGGCACGGCCCCGTTCGGAGCAAGGAGGGAGGGCCGGGGCCGCCTCGCAGTGGCCGTCACCCCCAGGGCGCGCCCGAGGGCACCGGGAGCGGCGGGACCGCGGAGCCGCAGGGTGCCAGCCCCACGGGGTGAAGTAACGGAGGGCGCCGAGAAGTGTGAGGAGTCATGAAGTGCGGGAACAGATGGTATTCATCTCTGGGAGACAGGAAATACGAAGGGAATGAAATACCGGGGAAGCGAAGTACTAGAAAAGTGTGTCATGCATAGTGTGGAAGGGCACTGTGCTCTTGGAACTGCAAAACCATAACCTCTTTTCTTTTTTTTTTTTTTTTTTTTTTTTTTTTTTTTTTTTTTTTTTTTTTTTTATTTTTTTATTTTTTTTTAACAGAACTAAAGGAGAGCATCACTGTTTTTTCAGGGATATGGTCTGTGTTGCTGGATGTTGTAAGCTTTAGGTGAAGAGTATATTTTATAAGCCCCTATTGATATCTGATCTCCCTCCACTGACAACCCAGCTGATCGCCTCTGTTTAAAAGTTCCATCCAGACCCCTTCCCAGAAATACATGTAAATGAAAGCAACAGAGAGCTCAGATGGCTTAGGCAGCTGGATACATTTATATGTATAGAAGACTTAGACACTTTGTGACCACAAGTGGTTTTTTGTTGTATAACCCAAAAGGACAAGCGCCACTTAGAGAAAGTGCCTTACCCACCATCTTCTAAGAAGAGGCAGGAATCAAATACCAGCCCCTGTGAATCAGTCCCATGCAGCTGGGCCAGCTTCCCCAAGCAGATGAGACAGAGGCACCTCAACGTGGTTGCTCAGGTGGGCTCCTGCCTCTTCAAATAGAAGGTGAGCAGTGCAGRAGTAGGGTGGCACATAACCTTCCTACACTCTTAAAGAGCAAAAAGAAAATTATAAAAGAAATAGGACATTAAAACTTTCCCATCTCGGGAGAGGGTCGTGCAAAGGCAAAAAATCTAAAGAAGCTGGCTGTTATCATCTGATCAAACAGGCCGTGTTCAGGTCAGGGAGCTGGGCTGGAACCTGGCATGGGCTTTCACAGGGTGAATGACAGAGACTGCGATCAGTGGTGGCAAGGTCACAGGCTAGTAATTTATTAACCTTTTATATTACTTGGTTTATTCACCATTATGCAAGAAGTTGCAGAATTGTAATATACATTGCATGCTGCAGCTCATTTGTTCTCTTTAAAGCAAATGGTGAGTTTCTCCATTGTGCTGAGGAGYTTTTGCTAAGAATACAAACTTGTACTTATCAGCATAGGAATACCCGGACTGGGTTAGAGTGGGGGTCCATCTTGCCCTCTCCTCTGTCTCTGGCAGAAGCTGGTGGTGATCATTTAGGTATAAAGAAGAAGTATGCTATGATCTGGTCGGGCCTCCCACCACCAGCTATCTGTGACCTGAGGGATTTAGGCAAGTAACATCTTTTTGTTTCAAGCAATCTTTGATTTATATAACTTCAGGTTGCTTGATAAAATGGTCATGTCTAAAATACGACCATGAAAGCTAACATTCGTGTTATATTCTTCCTCCAGAGAGGCCAAAAAAAACCAGCAGTCCTCACAGCCCCGAGCAAAGCATCCCTTGGAGGAATCAGCAGTCTGTGCAAGCATGCAGCTGTTGCTACAGCACAGCCTAGAAACTCTGAATGCAGAATAACAAGAAGTTAGAGGCCTTTCTCTCCTGTTATTCCTTGTAATTTATGTTAATATATTCTAGGATCAAAATACATTTCCTGAGAAATTATGATGACAAGTTCAACAAAGGCACAACTGTATCCTTTTATCAGCGTTTTCACAGTCTTGATTTTTCCCTTCTCTAGCTAAGCTGTGTTTCAAATTCCCAAGCAAAAGCCAAGGAGAGCCAAGTTACAGTTTTGTTATTTTCTCAAAACCTGAACTCAGAGAATTTACATCTGGGAAATATTTATCAGATTGTCTCATACACTGCTCATACCCCCTCCACTCAACTGACTCCCAGGTTGCAGCCAAAATTCCTACTGTGTTAATTCTTCTGGTCCATTCTGAAAGATTTCATATAAAACTAGTTTTTCCCCTTTCCTTTTGGAGGTTATTGTAATGTCACTGAATTTCTTTTCATAAACTCAGGCTTTGGGAATCCTTAAATAGCTAGTCAGCATCCTCACTGTGACTGGAGAGTGTTTTCAAAACAACTGTCATGCCAGACACCCCCACACTCATTTAGATATAATCCATTCTTTATTTGTGTTCTCATAAATTGCTTCATCCAGACCTTTAATAAAACCAGTTTCTTTTCCTCTCWGGCTCTCCTTCTTACGTTTCAACACATTTCATGTACACAGTTGACTGCAATGCTGAATGGAAATCTCTGTGTTGGATTTATCTTTAGAGACCTGAAGGGCAAACCCACTCTATCTTCTGTTCAGCGCATAATTTGATTTATGCACTCTTTTTTATCACCAGCTTTATTGTCAGGAAGACAGAGGCAAAGACAAGCTGTAGGCAGGGTATTCTGGGTAATCCCCAAGGGACCAAAGTCTTTGGAGAGCACGGCTGTTAATTTTCTACAGATCTTAATTGTGCCAAAGGATGTTGGGAAATGTCTRGAGGTCAGTACTTGATGTAGAGAAAATACTCTGTGAATTAGACACCAGTTGAATTATTATCTGTGATTTTAAGGACTGAAGAATCTCTTAAGCTATTTTGGAAAATCCTTCTGGACACCTATCTTTGCTATTAGGTATCTAAATAGTTCTGAAAAAACAATCCCCTGCTTTCCATGGGTCTTGGCAGAAATCAGTTTCAGATTAGTGGAAATTCTGAATATATCTACTGAATAACACCATTCTGAGTGCACACTTCCAAGTAGCTAGAAAAACACTCTCTGCAGAAAGTGGATGTTCAAATTTGGTCCCTAGAAAGTGACCTATCTTCGGTATTGAAGCATGATGTACAGACTAAGCTTATCCAGCCCTACCCACCCTCTGAACACAGAACATGGACAATAGGTTAAGGCTACTTAAGGTTACTTATATTTTGAAACATAACTTCCTCTCTCTGCCCAGCTGGAATTGCCAAGCACTAATCCATCTTCCTGCATTCATCAGTTGTTTAGTACATTTGAAATTCAAATTCCCCAGCTGTTTCAGAYGGGGTGCTTTAAAAATAGAGCAGAGAGAGAAATTCACCTGATCTTTATAGAAAGAGCTTCCTCTGGTAAGCAGAAAAGTGCCTGTATAGACTAAAGGTATTCACACTCAGATAGACTGAGCTTGTCAACTTTTTTTGCTCGGGACGCAAAGCAGGTTTCACCTACTGACCTAGGTTTGGAAGGTAGCCACAAAATACRAAAGTTCTGGTTTCTTAGCAAAGCTGACTTGTGCGTGCTTTACTTTTTTCTCTCCAGCAGCGTCCCATTGAGAAAGGCTTAAGCTGATGAAAAAAAAAAAATCCTGTTTTTTTCTGGTAGAGAATTAAGTACTCTGTGGTCTCCTGCGAGCATACAACCTTCTCCTATGCACCGGGAGTCTCCGCAGCTGAGTATTTCCACGCCTCTGGCTTTGCAGAGCATTCAGTCGAAGGGGAAGGACAGTTCTGCTGATGAYATTGAGGCGCTCATTCAGCTCTTCCAGCCTTTTCCTTATCGACTGGACTTCTCTCACAAGATTGTCCACAGCTGCAGAGACAGGGCGGAGACTACAAAGAGAATAACACAGAAGAATAACTCAGTTTAGGGAGTGTTTCTGAGCATGAAAAGTAATTTATCACAACCTTTGTTTCTTGGTGGGTAAGGCTGTGGATGATGAAAGAGTTTCGAGCAACTATTAAAAGGTACTTCAAAGCTAACCTGCCCCTTTGGCGATGGGAATTTGTTGTGGTGCCCTGTCTGAACGCTGGAAAACACAAGCTTCAGGACCACAGTGGGCAACATATCCTTCCACCACCTGATTTTAATTAGCATTAATTAACTAGGAGTGCACATGGAGGCTTGGCCAGCGATTCCCATGGAGTACTGTTAGTCCTCAACATTTCTGATGAACCAGTCTGTGTCCTTGCCAGCAAACTCTTAATTCAAAGCCCAGTACAGGAAATATGGYTGGATAGCCTCATTACATCTTCCTGGACCAAAGTTAGAACTTTACAAATACAAGACATAATATCATCCCTGATAATCTGAGGCACCAATAAATTTCAGCACTGTCAGTGTGAAAGTTGTGATGAATTCTGTGCAAGTAACAACAGTCACTTTGCAGCCAGGGAGAAATCCACTTTATGCCAAAGGCCAATATAWAATCTACCAAGTATATCCTCCTGAAACCCTGATTTATACAGATATGTGTGACCACGTGACTAGTGCCTTTTTTATTCTTCTAGTCTTTTCTCTTCAGCTGGTGCAATGCATAGCATTTGCAAACWTTTTTTTTWTCTTGTTCATAAWGAGAACAATGASTTATGGAAGACAACATTTTTATTTGCTTTATGAACAGTTTTACTTGCTGCAATGAACAATTCTGATTTACATTATATTATTATTAACCCTCTCCTCTCTTTCTTTCACTGCCTTTTCTACTCTCTTTCTGGAAATACAAGATTGAAGTTTGCAAATTTTGTAAGTTWGCTCAACAGTTAATATTTCATGCAATTCAAAGGGGGAATATGATAACATGAACTAGTGAATAGCTTTTTTCAGATCYGGGAGTTGAAGACTGAAATGAAAAAAAAAAATCACAGGGCAAATCAGCTTCTTTTCCCTGACCTGTGGCCAAGCCCTTGTGTGAATTTGTAGAACAATTCACTTTTTCCAGCCTGTTCTCACAAGTGTGAGGTATCAAGGACATTATCGTTAGGATGATCATTGTAATACAGTGRTGGCAATTGAGAATGTTTTACAATAGTCAGCAGAGCTACTAGCACAACAGATACCAGAACAGTGTGTTTTATTTCATCCCAACTGAGAAATATGAAAATTTATCTTGAAGAAGATGAATCCTGCTCAATGAARGGGAACCCAGGGGAAGACTGAATCCCACCTTCAGATGAGAGGAATTACCTAGAGAACTCAGGCAGTAGAGCATTTGGGTTGTTCAGCAGGGTATGCTTCATTTGCCAGAAGATTTCATTTCCCCATTTCTCAAGGGTTTGAGTAATGCTGTTAACACCTTCTATGTTGACCTTGTCAGCTAGGTTAGCAGGATGCCCATGGAAGAGAGGAAAACAAATGTGTCAGAACAAGAAAACATGAGCCAGTGCTCTGAGTTTGATTYCATTTCCCATCACAGCTCAGTTGCAATGAAATGCCAAATATTAAATACATGGAGGATCTAAATTTGAAAGCAGATAACTCTCCCTCATAGTGTAATTCTCTGCCTCCAGGCACCCAAGTTTTTTGCTTTCACTGGATACCCCAGCTGATTATTTCTAAAACCATTTTTTTTTCTCCAGAAGCCTCAGCAGCTACCCAGGAATCAAGAAAGAGCAGTCATGAATGAGCATTGTCTACCTCACTCCAAGGACAAAATAAGTGAATCTGCAGCTCTGAGCTACTGAACACCTCGCATGCTGACCCACCACTGTGACCTCCTACCGCCTTCTCTGTAGTTCCATTTTTGATGCTGGTCCAGAAAGTCCTCCTGAGATTTACTGCAGGGCAAAAGGATGAAGAGGAGGAAAAGAGGAAGAGTCACCATGATGGCCCTTTAGGATCTCGACTTCCCTCTGCTCTGTGGAAACAAAATGCTAAGTGTTTTATTTCATTTTACTTCTCTTTCTCCATTTCCTATTTGTCACCACAACACCAAATTTCTCTTTGGTATTTTAAGTGTTGTTCATGTTGCTTAGTCAGGTTTTACAGAAGCACAGTTTATACTTTTCACAAGTATAAACTTTACTTCTTTTCCAGACAATAGAATGGTGCTGAGATGCTTCAGCAACTGGCAGGAGCTGGGGAGTAGCTTTGCTTCCATACGTAGCCATGTTGGGATAGCACTTACAGCTGTAATTTTTCTGTCAGTGTCAGGAAGAGGTACTACAAGCTATGAAAAGAGCTGCATCCCTACTTTGTATGTGGGAGAAACAAGGCAAAAAAACAATGAAACAATTTATCAAGTGTCTCATAGTGGCCAGAATAAAAAAATGTTCTTTTTCATCTGATCCACTAGTGGCAATATCTGCCCAGTGTTGGAGTCTCAAAAGCAACCCCAACCCCCATGCTTTATCTGCACCTTGCCCCGGTGTCAGGGGGTCAGGTCCTCTTGAGCAAAGYTTCAGAGTCAACAAGACAAGTATTTGAACTGATGTGAACAGTTACCTAACTGTACTGATGGTACTAATGGTACCATCATTCCCAAGCCAAGAAAGTGAACCCTAACCTGAAAGCCCTCCTGGGCAAGTACCATCTCTAAATGTAAGAGGATAGATCAGTTTCTCCACAGTTTACTCATGCTAATTTGTTATTCTGTCCTAATAARTTAGTCCCTTGGTGTTGAATCTGTTTTTATTTTTTTTTTTAGATGCCATGAACAGATGTTTTGRTAGAAACAGGTTGAAAATATCCATTATGCACATATTGCACATAGCAAACAGAAAAAATGCATTGCCAGGTTCATGGGGTTTAGTGATGATTTCAGTCATCTGTAGTCACAGTGATAGAGGGGCTCATGTGAGAAGTAGGCACATCCAGAAAATCCAAATTATTTTCCTGTTCAGGTACATGCATCAAAAGCCTAAGACCTCACTGCAAAATATGAGGACATTAAATTTCTTTTTGAATATAATAAAATCCTCATCTCCTAACCATCTGGGAAGAATTCAGTCACCTCAAAACCTACCAGGAGCTGTAGCAGATAAAGCAGTTAATAAATAATTCCTTTCACTTTGTGCCTTCCTTACACTTGATCACTAGTTCATTTTAATTGCAACTGCATTTATTTTTCCACTATTTAAGGTAGCAGTATGAATATAGCCATACTAATGGAAAATGTCATGATACTTTAAAAATAATACTTTCCACCTGTCAGGATGTAATTTGTGCTTCGTATTCTTCATCTAATTGGAGTATTCATTTAAAGGAAAAATAAATTACCTTCTTCCTATCTCACACATGCATACACCTTTTTTTCCCCCTTACTCAGTTGCCAAAATGAAGATCTTTAAGAAGGTCTGACAGTATCACCAAGGCTCATAATAGAAAGGTCTTCTYGGACCTTCTTGTAACTATTTGCATTGACACCATACTTCCTCCTCCTCTCAGCTTTTCCAAATAAATGCTCCAGCCTTTACAGCTTTCTTTTTTTTCTCTCTTTCTTTGAATGATAATGCCCTGCATAAGCCTTCTTAATCTTCCCTGATGGGAAAGGACTTACCAGACACCAATGGGTCTAATTGCAAGTGATTTAAAAATGCTGCCAACATCAAGGAGGCAGGGTGGCTTCCAAGCTAATTGGAAAACTTCCTGAAGAGATTGTCCATTCCTTATTCTTTCTATCTCCCACTCATTTCAATACTCCACAGCTGGGATACTTTGATCTTTATTTGTTAAAAGTAGGGTGATAATAAATTYCACCTACATCTGCTAGTGAAAATCCACCCTACTTGAGCTCAAACTTTTAAAAACATCAGGTGTCCAAATGAATCACAATACCCACATGCTCTATTTGCAGGGCCCCTTACAGACCAGTTTCTTTGTAGCTTTGTTCCCTTCATTCCTGAGGGTCTACTGTAATTTATTATCACAGTAAACATCAGGTTGTAATCATCTTTGAAGTAGATTMTTGTACCTCAGACACACAGAAAATGAGCAATCTTYCCTCTCTTAGGTGGAATTGTAGATGGCAAATGGATATTCACTAACAAAGTTCCTAGCTGAAAAATCTGCAGGGTCATCTCTAATTGGAACCAGATCCCCAGCTGATTCAAATATGTCTTCTGATCTGTTGCAGAGTTGCACTGGAAAGTACTATCAGGGTAGAACACAGATTGACGAGCAAGGAGATCTCTCACACATCCTTGGATGGAAACTCTTTCCTAAATGCAGGGAATAACAACAGCAACATATTAGCTTTGTAATTGTTACTAGTAATTCCAATAATATGAAGTGCTGTCAGAAAATTACATCACATTCTGCCCTTGGAGCAGGGAAGGCTCAGTGATTCACTGGACAGTCCCTTCATCTGCAGGCAATGAAGACCAACATATTTGTCTCATTATTACACAGTATTTTTTTCATATTTTAACCTTTTGATTCCTCATTTCAACATAATAAAAGAGCTCAGCCAGCTTAATACCCAGAGCACAGCCCTGCTGGGATCAGCAGTTGTGCCATCCAAGCCAGAATCCCTGCCCCAAAGCAAAGGAGTGCTGCCAGTATTTGAACTCCTGACACTGTCCCTCTCCTGTTAACCCCTTCGGTTTCTTGTTGCTCCATTTCCAGTGCCCTGGGTAATCACAACAGAGCACTGGGGTTTCACTGGTACCCACCCCAAACTTTGATAGGTCAACAGTGATGACTGAAGTTCACTACTGCTTATGGGTTGTGCTGGATATGCTAGGATATGGGGGAATAGCCCAGGTCACCTGCTTCTGGTACCAAACACAGCTTCATTTCAGAGAGCCCTCCCTCCCCTGAAGCCGAGGAGAGCTCATCCTATCGCAGACATGTGAGGTTTTGCTTTACAATGCAGGGCTTGCCTGCTGCTTTTACATCAAGAGGCTTGAAACCTTCCCCTGTATTTCTGACTGCCCTGAACACATGCCCTCTTCTGAGTGCATGAGCATCCCAGTGTATTAGCTCAAGCCCATGCTTGCTTTGAGAAGAGGATGTTGCTGATTAGAGTTATCAATCACTGCAGTGACACCTAAAATGAAGTATTTTTTTCTATATTTGAACATTGAACTGCAAGTGAATTACATTTGTTCTTTTCATTTGAGGTCTGTTCTCCTCTCATAACTTTTCCAYGCTCCTTTCGAGCTACTTTCAGACTAAAGCTGAAGAGTGATTCTGGATTTTGGGTTGTTTGCAGAGAAATAAAATATACTTTTAAGTGAATCAGGAAGTTTGATTTCAGGTAAATCATAAACACATAAAGTGTATCTCTCACTCCAATGATAATGGATATTTAAACATCAAAGTATGTTTAAGATTCTCAATTTTGTAAAGAATCTCTATAGATAATAAAGCTATTTTCACAGACTGTTGGAATTCCTCTATCTCTTTTTCCTTCTATCTCTTTTTTTTTCCATTGCAATATTTGAAGAATATTTTATAGTTTTATTACTTATAAACACCCAACTAAAATGTTCTGGCTTATGTATCAGATTCAAGAACCGTATAAGTTGTATAAACSAAACAGATTCATATTAAAAAAAAAAAAAAAAGAAGTATCTTGTATCTGCATACAATTTCTAATGCCAATTCTGTGATAGCTCCCAGTCTAGGATATTGAAAAAAGTCTCTGAGCTTTTAGATGAGAAAGCTGCCAAGTCTTGAGTCCAGAACAATCAAAGTATTTGCAAGCTCTACTTGCAAAACGGATGGCATTTGTTAGCTCTCCAAGAAAAAAAAAAAAAAAAAAAAATAAAAAAAAAAAAAAAAAAAAAAAAAAAAAAAAAAAAAAAAAAAAAAAAAGGAAGAAAAAAGAAAAAAAAGCATTAGCATATGCTTGTAGAATTATGTAATAGTGGAAAAATCATAAAAAAGGCCAAAAATAATTTTAAAAATTGAATCCTACAATGTTAACCCAGCCACAGTGGTATAGCTAGAATAGCACCTGTTTCAAAGTCTTTGTTATAAATCCGTTGTATTGGAATATTCTTCAGTATACATATGTATAACACTATATGTTGGTGCACACACAGACTCTCACACACTCAGTTTGAGTTTATAATAACAATATGTAGGAATAGCAATATCTTGAATTCTTCAAGTTTGGCTTCCTGACAAATTTGAGTTAAATGGTRCTTTTTCACCTAAGAGTTACACAGCTCATTTTCTACCTGGATATTGTGTGAAAGTGAAGAGCATCTGAATCCCTGAAATAGCTTGACCATGCTGTTAAACAAAGAGATCTGATGGACAGCCCCAACGACAGATAGTGAGGGTGATGCTCTTGCCAGCAGGCAGCGGTAATGGTGATAAAGAAGGAAAAAAAGCCATCCAGGTGCAAAGCCCACATCTACTGCAATACATCTACTGCAATACATCTGCTGCAATTCACAATCTTAGTAAAGTACTGTTTTGAGGAGGTAATATTCACCTTTTGTCTCTTCTCCAGGTGTGCCTGCTTTTTCAGGATATGTCTTATCTTCAACTCTCTCACGCAGCGCTTGGTCCTTCCTCTTAGGAAGTTTCCTCTCTCTCTTTGGATAGGCACTCATAAATCTTGCCCTCTCCTTGTCTGCYTGTCTGACTGTCTGCCTGATACCAAGGATTTGCTTTTTCTTTCTTTCTCCCTACTTCTCTCACTGCAACACCCCTGTTCTCTGGAAATGTAGGTAGCAATCCTACAGCCTCTGTGTCCATGCCAGACTGCACATATTCCCTCCTCCCCAGGCTCTTCCCACAGGTGCCTTTAGAGTCCTTCAAAGCAATAAACCTCTTTCTGAGATGTATGGATATGTTTCCTCCAGAGAAAGAAACAAAACATTCCTGGGAAAGAAGGCAGAGAATTGTATACAAGCATTACCTTTGCTCTTGAGGCCAGTCCTCCAGATATGAAGCTTCCAAATCTCTGCCTCCCTGCTCCTTTCTTCTCCTTACTACCCTCTCTGCATTTCAGCTTGCGAGTGACGTGTGCCTCTTCATTTCCCTGCTTTCCACATTTCCACAGTCTTTCCGTGGAGCCTCCTCCAGCTGTACCTCTCTTACCCCTCCCTCCCACTCCTGCAAACTAGCCATCTCTCCCCACACGTGTGAGCCTTATGGGACAGAAAGCCTGGGCAATGGAGCCCTTCTCAAAAACTGCTCTGGCTGCAAGGACAGCCATGTATCTTTGCCCCGGTTCTTTTGGGCAGCTCTCAACCGCTGGCTCTCTGGCACAGCTGTATGACTTCTCAAACCAGTCACAGTTTCCACTATGCAGTGCTTCTCTCTGGCTGCTTGAACCCTCCAGCCATCCAGTCATGAATTTGTTCACTGCGTTCTTCCTGCCTTTTAACTAACATGCCAATTAATTCCCTGCTGATTAGTTCATTCCTGATGCATTCTGCCAAATCTATTTCTAGTGGAACAAACAAGGAGGGATGAATCGGCTGCAATGTTGTTGTTTTTTTCCCTTGACCCCCTCCCCCAGGTTTCGACTTGCCAAATCAAACAGTCTTTGGTCTGGTCAGTACTCATTAAAGAAATTTCCAAACAAATGCAAAGCGTTAAAGGGATGAATTTTGTGAAGCAGGGGGTGAACCCCGGACTCTGGACCCATGTCCCTGTCAAACTGATATTTTGCTGTGATTTGAGAGGATGTGCAGCCGACACAGCCCGAAGCTGTAGACTTGTTGCACACATTGGCTCATGACTAGACCCATGGCACTGCTTGCAAATGCCTTGGCCAAATCTGCATTCTTCTTGATATTACTTCTCCAGTATCAACTGGCAAGAACACCCTCTCTGTTTCCTGACCAGCCTATTCTTACTTAACTCAATTTTCCACAGCCAAGACACTGTATTCTACAGTGAGAAGAAAGATGTTTTTCTCACAGGTCGAAGGACTGCCCAGCCACTCAGAATAAAAGCAAACACCAAAAAGTACGGAACCAGAAGATATGTGCAAGTGATATAGACAGAGCAGTCACAAATGCAGTGTTGTGATTGCAACAGAGTGATGTGGTGTAAACCAGTTGAGGAGCTGATTGTGAGGGAAGCTGAGTGGCTTTTAAGCACAGTCCATAAACATCAGTCAGCACCATCATTTAGTCAGACGCTTAAATCCAGTCAAGAGGAGAGAGGCTGCACTGGAACGAGACTAAGGGATATCTGCTCCTCTGACAACAGAAGCGTGTGGTTTTGGCTGCTCCTGCTCCCCCAGTCCCACTGGCTCTGTAGCAGGGAAATTTCTGAGAAGACTGTCTTGTTTATGGAGACTTGCCACTGAAACAGCAGGACACTCATTTGCAAAGTTATAAAACACCAGTTTTTAAAATCAGCACACAATATACAGGCTTAACACAGATCAGCCTCCGTAGGAACTGGAAACATATTTTTTCAATGCTCAAACAAGCAAACAAAATGTCCAGGCAACAGGAAAATAACCCAAACAGTCATCTGCCTCCAGCTGTTCCCCATTCAGCATGTGGAAAACACAGTCCTGTTATGCTTTAGCATCTCCCTGCTAGGAGGAAGYGATCTGCTGATGGTCAGTATGAGATGGAGACAGGAGCCTGAGGAATGCTCCGAGCAAGAACAGCTCCACGGGGGCATGACACAGAGACACYGACTGAGCAAACCTGACAGGGAAACACACTCCCAAAATCCAAACCGTGCTGGTGAAGGGTCACACACAATGGTCTTATGCTGAGAGCTCAGAACAGCTCTCAGCAGGTAGGAGGGTATCAGAGAAATGTCCCATTCCCTTTGCCTTCTTGGGGATTGGCAGGACAGGAAGGAGATGTATAATTTCCTGTCTCTGTCTCCTTTCAGCTACCATTCCCATTCCTGGTGATGTGAAAGGACCACTGCTCAGCACACGGTCACCACCATGGCTGCATTCAGTGATACCCAGCCATGTGCCTGCACTGTACCACACTAAGCAGAGACTGGGGAGCAATCAAGCAACAAGAAACTTCTTTTATTTTTTGTTGTCAGATTTCAGTGATAGTGTTGAAAGCAATAGCAGGGTGATCAATCTGTTCTCCTGCATGACGACCACCCAGAACCTGGTTCAGCCTGCAGCCTTTGGGCAAAACAAAAGAGATTCCAACACTCCCTGTAAAGCCCTATGCCTTGCAGGGTGTTTGTGCTCTGGGCCATGTGGGAGAGCAGGGTCTGAGGGTTTTTCCAACACTACCGCTTGTGTTCAGCCCGGGCTGCCACACACACACACTTAGCCAAAATACCCCCAGTGCAAAAACTGGGCATCCTGAGTAAGATGAAATCACAGAGGAATTYCTGACACGACACAGGGAACAGAGGGCAGGTTGGCTCCGAGATRGCAACATTTGTAGGCCTTTTAAAAGTCCATACATGAGCTACCAGGAATTTTAATAAAGATTYGAGGGGTCACAGATGATCTTGCGCAGTTTCTAGGAGCATCCATGTTTGGAGCTGCCCCAGGGCCAGCCAGCCAGCCAGCCTCTGCTGTACTTGTTTCAACCCTGCACAAAAGCTGGAAGGCAATCTGTGTAAAATAACTCATCTTTCCCCAGCCTGGCTTATGAGGCTCGTCACCTGCATCACTCCTGGGCCCATTCACCTGCCTGTTCCTGCACAAACTACCACTGCTTTGAGATCTCACTCACTCAGCTGCAGCCGTTTCTCTGTCACTCTAGATCAGGGCAAGTGCTGAGCACTTGTGAAGCATTGCATTCTTCTCCAGGTACCATGTCATACCTGCTTTGGACTGCTGCAAGTGAGCAAAATGTCTCCACTGCGTGATTTTTCCTCCCTTGCCTAGCTGGGATGGCTGCATGTCACTGCTCCACTCACAGGCACCTGCAGCTGGATTCATGCAGGGAGGCAAGGCTGTCGGAGGAAGCCACAAAGAACAACCCCTTTTGTGTGCAGTAATGGTGACAAGTTACTGAAAGAGGTGACACTGAAGAGGTTTCCTTATAGTATGTCTCACCGTTTTTGAACCAAATGTGCTGGCCCTATTGGGTGGACTCTGGATGTCACTATGGTTTGTGCAGGTCAGGTGAATATTGCACATCTGTGCAGTGACTCCAACACACTGGCATTTCAGAGGGCATGGGTTAGGTCAGAAATCCAGCATCCAGCAGGGCACAGAAAATTTACCTTGGGCAGGGTCCTCACCCTACACAGGACAGCAGGAGCCAGAGGGGGCAGAGAGGGGTGACACAGGCTTAAYGCAGATGAGGGGCTGGTGGCTGTGTATTTTCATGCTTTTTGGCTTGTAACATTTTTCTAAATGACCACATTTTCTACACAAACCTCTCAGACTTCCAAGCTTAACCCAAGTATTTAATTTATCAGCATCTGGCTTTTTCAAACTGCTTAGGAAAAAATAATAAATAAAATTAACAGTGACATTTACATAAATTAATGATCTATTTGCAACTTTTTGATTGATACTAGAACACTTGACAGSCCCAATTTATATGCAAATTAGCTTACATTCACAGCGTAAAGAAGGAAAACTTCATTTCTCATGCTTTGCAAATCATTAAATCCTCTGAACCTTTTGCTTAGTCATATATTCCTCAAAAGCATCAGTTTAACCAGAAATCACTTGTCCTTGCAATCCATTAGCCTCATGGAGAACTCTGGGCTTGGGGGACAAACCATTTTTGTGGGGATGGATGAAATAAAGAGAAGGCTATGCTGTACCACAGATGTAAAAACAGCATTGCAAACTGTGGGCTTTTGCAGTATATATGTGAGTGCCAGATGTTAAAAGATCACAGATGAGGACACCAGACTTCCCAGTTCCTGCTTCTGGCTGTTTTCTGCTATTCCTTTGCTCCCAGCTCTAATTGGTACCAGAAGCATTTTCTTAGAAGGAGTCACTCTGCTGGACAGCTCTTGCCCTGCCTATCACAGGCTTTGCTAACTGAGACTTGAAAAGGATCCAGGATCTATCCTGTAAATATTTACATAGATACAGGACTGTCACTGCTCTTAAATCAAAGCATGGAGGACAGGAAATGGCATATGGAACAGAAAGATGATATTCAGAAAGACCTGGAAGGGAAAGAATAATAAAAACTGTGATGACTTCTGCAGAGTTTGCCACCTGGGACTGCCCCCACAATGCTGTGTTCTCAGGAAGGTCTCTCTCTGAACCCTAGTGACATCAGTGGAATAAAACCCTCTGGTACCAGAAGACTTTGGATCAAAACTATTCTCTTTCCTGTTCATATCCGAAAAAAAATTCTCTTCACCAGCTACACCACTTGGTGTCTCTCTTCTGCACCTTATTTGTTGTTACTGTTTAAGGAGTTTCAGGACAGACCTGAACATTATTTGCAGAAACAGCACCTGAAACAGGGGAAAGCAAGAGCAGCAGTAAATGCTGAGGAAATGTGATGTGTTCATTAGCCAAGCAGAGTCTCTTTTGATGTATTTAGCCAATAGTCTCTCCTCTTATTCAGTGACAAAGGACAATGTCTTGTGAGTTCTCACACAAATCATRACTTGAAGAAGTGGTGATGTTAGATGGCCCCTGTGAGCCTGGAAATCAGCAAGCTGGAGCCTTGTGGCTTTGGGGAAGCCACAAAACCCTCCTTGCTCCAGTTCCCCATTGTCGGAAAGGGAGAGTTCACTTGTTCACTCACCTCAGAAGGCTGCAGTGATGATTGAGGACAGCTCTGGAAAACAACCTCGCCGTCTTTTGTAATTAATCAATAACAAAAACTACCAATTAACCAAACAAACAAA